GAATGGCTCATTCAATCAAGGAAGTTTTATTCCTAAAACTTACATGGTATCAGAGCAGGTTGTTTAAACACCACAATGGTGGAAACCGAGCAATCTGACTCTTCTTCCCACTCACAAACCCATAACCCTAACTCCCAAAATAGCTCAATGACAAACTACCAGACCTCAGTTCATTCATCTATGCTCATTACTGGCCATAGATTGAATGGCACAAATTATCTAGAATGGTCACAGTCTGTCAAGCTGGCTATTGATGGAAGGGGCAAGCTAGGGTACATAACTGGTGATATAGAGGAGAAAAAAACTGGTGATGATGGCTACAGTGTTTGGAGGTCAGAAAATTCCTTGGTGACAGCATGGCTTCTAAGTTCAATGGATGCATCAATTGCCAAACCTCACATGTTCATGAAAACTGCAAAGGAGGTATGGAATTCCATTAAGGAAACTTACTCAGATCTTGAGAACTCTTCTCAGATTTTTGAATTAAAAACAAATTATGGCACATTAGGGAGACTTGTTGGAAAATTCATGGCAAACCACCAGGGGCAGGAAAGAAAAAAACTGAGAAGGTCCTACAAACAACTGTGACTGAGACTCAACAAGAACCACAATTCAAATTCAATCAGCTTTCTATCACTCAGGAGCAGATAGGGCAACTTCTTAACTTCCTTAATTCCCAGAAAACCCAAAATTCCCAGAAAGAATCCAAACCAGAATCTTCCTCTTGTTCTTATGCCCAAAATGGTACCTATTCATCATTTTTTTGTTCTGGGAAATCTAAAAATACCTGGATTATTGACTCAGGGGCTACTGATCACATGACTTCTATTTCAAATCTTTTTTCTTCATATAAACCTAGTGCAGGAGATAAAAAGGTTAAGGTTGCAGATGGTTCTCTATCAGCCATTGCAGGGATAGGAAATATTAATATTTCCTCATCACTGAATCTATCCAAAGTCCTTCATGTCCCTAATCTATCCTGCAATCTTACTTCAGTTAGTTAAATAACTAAAGATCTACAATGTTGTGTCATTTTTTATTCTTCTTATTGCATTTTTCAGGACCTAGCATCGGGGAAGATGATTGGCAGTGCTAAGGAGGAGGATGGACTCTATATCTTTGATGAAGAAACTCAATCTAATAAAAGAGGTCCAAGAAATGCTTGTTTGAAAACTGTTTCTTTTTCAAATAATAAAGACTTGTATTTACTTCATTATAGACTAGGACATCCTAGTTTCTATTATTTAAAAAAGATGTTTCCTCAATTATTTCTGAATAAAGATGCTTCTTTGTTTAATTGTGATATGTGTGCACTTGCAAAACATCACAAAAACACTTATTTACCCCACAGTTATAAACCTACTAGCCCTTTTACCTTGGTACATAGTGACATATGGGGTCCATCTAGAATACCAACTTTAAAGGGAAAGAGATGGTTTGTAACTATTATTGATGATCATACTCGTGTCACATGGGTATTTTTAATCAAAGAAAAATCTGAAGTTGAGAAAATATTTAGAACATTTTATGCTATGGTCCAAACTCAATTCAATACCAAAATTAAAATGGTAAGAAGTGATAATGGCCGTGAATATTTTTCTCAAACTTTAAACAACTTTTTTACTGAAAAAGGCATTATTCATCAAAGCTCTTGTGTCAATACACCAGCTCAAAATGGAATTGCAGAAAGGAAAAATAGACATTTGCTTGAAGTCACTCGTGCAATCATGTTTTCAACAAACATACCAAAATATTTGTGGGGAGAAACAGTGTTACATGCAACTTATTTAATTAATCGCATGCCATCCAAAACTTTAGGATTTAAAAGTCCTATTAGTTCACTACAACACTTCTTTCCTACAAATAGATTGGTAAACACCCTTCCTTTAAAAATCTTTGGTTGCACAGTGTTTATCAAAAATCCTGATAGATCTGCAAGTAAGTTTGATCCTAGAGGAAAAAAATGTGTTTTCCTAGGTGTTTCTGCCACTCAAAAAAGGTATAAATGTTTTGATCCTACAACCAAAACAATGGTTGTTACTATGGATATTATTTTTATGGAAGAACAACCTTTTTTTGATTCTCATCTTCAGGGGGAGAAATTAAGTGAAGATGTTCCAATAATGCCAAATATTCATGAAAATCTTAATTTTCTTGATATTAATCTGGATGATAATTTCTTTAGAAATATCAGTACACCTGAAAATGATCAAGGAATAAAAAATAATGAAGTAAATCCAACTGAACCAATTGAAAAGGATCAACAGACAAGTCAGTTCTTTGAAAAAACTTATGAGAGAAGAGTTAGAAATCAAAGAATAGAGGAAGTCCAAGAACCTACAACTGTCCATGATTCTGCCTCAATGTCAGGAAGTGAAAAAGGTAATACTTCTAGCAACTTTGACCTTCCTATTGCTCTCAGAAAAGAGAGAAGAACATGTGTTAAATACCCCATCTCAAACTATGTTTCTTATTCTAAATTGACATCAGACTTTGCAGCCTTTACCTCCAATATCTCTTCTATTTCTATTCCTACAAACATACATGATGCTCTATCTAAACCTGAGTGGAAGAAAACTGTTTTGGAGGAGATGGAGGCTCTTGAAAAGAATCAGACATGGAAGCTTGTAGAGTTACCTAAAAATAAACCTACAGTTGGTTGCAGGTGGATTTTCAACCCCAAGTTTAAGGCAGATGGAAGTTTGGAGATGTATAAGGCAAGACTAGTTGCCAAGGGGTACACACATACCTATGGAATTGATTACAAAGAAACTTTTGCACCAGTTGCAAAGTTAAACATTGTAAGAATTCTTTTATCTCTTGCTGCCAATTTAGACTGGCCATTACAACAACTGGATGTAAAGAATGCTTTTTTAAATGGGAAACTTGAAGAAGAAGTGTACATGGAACCTCCTCCTGGGTTTGAAAATAAGTTTGGGTTAAAAGTTTGCAGATTAGAGAAGGCTCTATATGGACTTAAACAGTCTCCAAGAGCCTGGTTTGACAGATTCACAAAGTTCATAAAGAAGCAAGGATTTAATCAAGCTCAAGCTGACCATACTTTATTCATGAAGTTTTCAGGTAAGGGGGAGATTGCAATCTTAATTGTCTATGTAGATGATATTATCCTCACAGGAAATTATCCCACAGAGACTAAAAGATTGAAAGACAAACTTGCTCATGAATTTGAGATTAAAGACCTAGGAAATTTAAATTTTTTCCTAGGAATGGAGATAGCTAGATCAAAGAAGGGTATTGTTGTCTCACAAAGGAAATATGTTTTAGATCTTCTACAGGAAACTGAAATGAGTGCCTGCAAACCAGCAGACACTCCAATTGATCCAAGTCAGAAATTGGGAGATATCAAGGAGGGAAATCCAGTTGATATTCACCAATATCAAAGATTGGTAGGAAAATTAATATATCTGGCACACACAAGACCAGATATTGCATTTGTAGTAAGCATGGTAAGTCAGTTTATGCATCATCCTTTCCAAGAACATCTTGATGCTACTTACAGGATTTTGAGATACCTGAAGAGCTGTCCAGGGAAAGGATTGTTTTTCAAAAAGGGAAACAATAGGAAAATTGAAGCTTTTACTGATGCAGATTATGCTGGCTCAATATCTGATAGGAGATCTACTTCTGGATACTGCACCTATGTATGGGGAAATCTAGTAACCTGGAGAAGTAAGAAACAAAATGTGGTTGCTAGAAGTAGTGCAGAATCAGAATTCAGAGCTATGGCTAATGGAATATGTGAGTTACTCTGGATCAAACGAGTAATCACAGAACTAAAGATGGAGATTGAGCTGCTTATGAAGTTATATTGTGATAATAAAGCTGCTATAAGTATTGCTCATAACCCTGTGCTACATGATAGAACTAAGCATATTGAAGTGGACAGACATTTCATTAAGGAGAAGATTGAAGCTGGAATAATTTGCACACCATTTGTATCCACTAAAGATCAAACAGCTGATATCTTCATCAAAGGGTTATTTAGACCTATATTCGAGCTACTTATAAGCAAGTTGGGAATGTATGATATATATTCACCAACTTGAGGGGGAGTGTAGAAAAATGTTACATTATTAGAAAAATGTTACATTATTTTTCCTGATTAGATTGATGTACATAAGTGGGTCGGATAGACTTAGTTAGTTGTAGATAAGCTCATAGTTATCTAGATCCTAATATTTAGGATCTGTACCGGCTTGTAGTTATCTGTACAAACTGTATTTATACTCTGGCCGGATGGCTCATTCAATCAAGGAAGTTTTATTCCTAAAACTTACAGTTTATGATCTCCTTTTTGTGGTTTTTGATTGTTACACTTGTTGACTTTCAATGATCATTTTATTTTATTTTTTATTTTCAACGTTTGTATTTTTTAATAGGGAAAATCGCATATATGGTCCCTCAGTTGTCCACGAAATTAAAATCTCAGACCTGTATTTCTGAGATTGTAAATGTCACCCCTCAATTGTCCAAATTGTTGTAAATGTGGTCCTTTAAGTGGTGAAATGTACTCTCGCCCACATTGTATATTTCACCCCTCAAAAGGACCACATTTACAGCATTTTGAACAATTGAGGGGTGACATTTACAATCTCCGAAATACAGGTCTGAGATTTTAATTTCGTGGATAACTGAGGGACCATATATGCGATTTTCCCTTTTAAATATAAATATGTGTCAAAGTTGAGGCTTACACCTCATTGCGTAATGAGGCTTACGCAGTAGGCAATGCTAAGAAACCACATTAAATATGCAATTTCGAACATTGGTCAAAACCCTAGAACTGCTGGGGGGGGGGGGAAGTGGGGAACTGAGACAAAACATAATGATCTGTTTTAAAATTTTATGAATGAAAGTTTGATGGTTTGATCGTAGCCACTAAGTTAGCCTTTCTTTAATGTTTCTGTTCAATTAAAGTTTTATGCTTATATAGATATAAACGGCGTGATTATTAACATCCAGTATTATCACTAATACAGGTTTACTAACTGGATTAGTCATAGATTCTGGTGATGGTGTTACTCATGTGGTAAATTATCATAATCACGCCTTTGACACATTATATTTGACTGTTCGTAAGAGCCTCGTCTTAATGTAATAAATAATGATTTTTTGTTTAGCCTGCTTGTATGATGCTTTTTGGTGTAGGTTCCAGTTGTAGATGGTTACTCATTTCCTCACCTCACTAAAAGAATGAATGTAGCTGGACGTCATGTAACTTCTTATCTAGTTGATTTGCTGTTTCGCAGAGGGTAAAACAAATTGATGCATTTCTTTTTCGGATGGTGCTTCCAAGTTGATATATTATCACAAGTATTTTTTTGAAGGTATGCGATGAGTAGAAGCGCTGATTTTGAGACTGTCAGGGATATAAAAGAAAAACTTTGCTACATTAGGTGAATTGACTTTTGTCATATCAGATGGGCTCATCTTTTCTAATCCTCTTGGTTCTTGCTGAAAGGTTAACAATTATTTTACTGCAGTTATGATTATAAACGAGAATATCAATTGGGGCTTGAGACCACTATCCTTGTTAAGAATTATACTGTGAGTAAATTCCATTTTGAGCATTTTGATATTCTTTAGTTAGCTCTCTTAGTTTGAACCATAAATTTAGCCATAGGCTTTGTAAATTGCCAGTAATCTTGTATCTTTCTTTTATGAGTATAATAAAATTCTTTTGTATATTACCTTGTGCTATCCCAAAATCTTTTGGGAGTAAGGCTTGGATGTAGTGTTGTTGTATTATCTGTGCGCAGGATTTTTTTTACTGGTATGTAATGGAGGTGCTTTAAACAGCTTCCAGACGGGAGGGTAATCAAAGTGGGCACGGAGAGGTTTCAAGCACCTGAAGCTCTGTTTACCCCGGTAAGAATTTACACTTGTGTTTTGTTTTAATTGTTCCAAACTAGGGGTGCAAACGAACCGAGCCGAACCCAAACATAAGTATGCTTGAGCTTGAGCTTGATAAGAATTCACGAACTTGATCTTGAGCTTGGATGAGTTAAATAATTCTGGCTCAAACTTGAGCCAAGCTCCGCTCGAGCTCAATTCGAGCTTTGTTCGAGCTCGGGTCAAGTTTTGCTAATTAATTTTTTATAGATTTGAACTCGAATAAGATGCTCGAACTCGAGCTAAAAATATAATATGTGTACTTATTCATTCTCATTTTTAGTTTATCTCTCCTTTACGAACATTTTTATTCTTTATTTTACTGTCAATAAATATTACGGGTACATATTATAATTATTACAGATTATGGTTATAATTGTAATACTACTGATAGAGTATATCTAAAGAGAAGTGAGAGCTAGAGAGAGAAGTGCAGTAATATGCTTCAATAGAATGAATTTGTAACCCTGATAACTACCTCCAGAGGAAGTATTTATAGGGAAAATACGGGCTGGGCTCCCAAGCCTTGGGCTTGGGAGGCCCATTTACAACTGGACCGCTACTGGGCCGAATACAAAGCCACTAATGGGCTGTACAAATGAGTAAGTGTAAAATCTGGTTCTGTGAGGTCTTCGTGGCCGACGAGGGCGTGGCCAACAAGGGCACGGCCGACGAGGGCGTGGCCGACGAGGGCACCCGGGTTCCTTGGATTCAGGACCATATTCTGAGTTGGTACCTTTCCGGCCGACGGGGGTCCCTTGGCCGACGAGGGCACCACTCAATGTCTTGTGCTTTCTGTTCTTCTGAGTATGTGGGTCCTGGGGCTCAGACCCATATACTCCATCAGGAGTCCCCCACTCTCTAAGCTGAGACGTGGACGAAGCGAAGGAGAGTAGATTCCCGTGCTTTGGTGCTTTTGGCCGATGCGGGCACTCCCAGGCCGTTAGCTGTTGCGGCGTTGGCGCTGTTTCCATTTTGGTGATCTTGTTCTGTGCTTGGCCGTTACCTGTTCCTCGCTGTGGACGGGGAGGCCGTTGTTTCCCTGGTGCGTTCGTTTGGGGATGATGAGTGTCCTGCTTCGATGGTGGCCGTTGAAGGCGCGTTTTCCCTTTCTTGGACGTTGATGGTTGAGATTTAGATTTGGGCTGATGAGGCCGTTGAGGTTGAATCTTGCTTCGAGGACGATGGGCGTCCTTTCCTTTGGGTGGCCGATGAGGGTGCTTGCGCACTCCTTTTGGCCGTCTCTGATTGGCTTTCGTGTTCTTGGCCGAAGAGCCCATCATGGTTAACTGTTGGCGGAGGACGATGAATGTCCTTGCCTTAGGTGGCCTGTTGGCCGTTGCTGATGATGTTATGTGCCTTTGGCTGACGAGGCGCTGTGTTGTCCAAAGTGCCTGGCCGGAGATGGAGTCGCGAAAACCTTGGCGCCGTTGTGATACATGGACGATGTGGCCATGCTTTGTGGTTACATTTGTGTTTGCATTTTTCCTTTGTCTGTATTATTGAGGCCGATGTAGTCCCCCAGTCCCCCACTGCTTCAGGCCGAAGAGTGAGTGAGGGGTGAAAGAGTAGATTGAAACGCAGGCCGAAGTGGGATCCTCATACTGCCCTTGAGTCCAACCCTTTGGCGATTTTCTGACCAAGGTAACCCTGTGGGAGAACCCTTGGACGCAGGTCGCTTTCAAAGGGTTATCATCAAGGATTTAGTGCGAGGGCCTCATGGACGTTACGTTCATCTCCTTCGGGATGGTGTGACCATCTGGGTGGCCGATACGAGCGCCGTTGGGGTACCGTTGTATGTTGTTGGCCGTAGAGTTCTCGTTCCGTAGAGCCTGATTTGCCAGCGGGCTTTTGATATGTAGTTTGGGCTTGGCCCATTGGTGACGTGGTGGTCTCCCGTTGGTGGCCGTTGATGTGGCCACTGGGAGGGTGCCACGTGTAGTGACCGTTGGGTGGGGGGTTCTATAAATACCCCTCTCCATCCGACGAGAATTTCTTACTTGCAATCCGAGTTGTCGAAGTGCTGGCCAAATTTCTAGAGAGATAAACTCCCAAGCTTGTGTTCTTCGTGTTCTTCGTGTTCAAGGTTAGTGTTCATCGAAATCTTCTCTGTACTTTGCATATTTTGCTTCCTAGGCTAGTGATCTAGTGTTAGGCGCTTGAACACCCTTAGATCTTGAAGTAGGCTGCAGTATACCCGAAATGGTGTTTAAGATGAAGAACTTCAACGAAGAGTACTATCCCTACGACGACGAGCCCTCCGCCCAGTCCCTTGATTATCAGGTGGTCGAGGAGTTCTGTGAGGAGCTTGAGGATCTGAGCTCGTTCAGGAACGGGGAGCCGGCCGAGGAGGACGGTGCGGACGAGGGGTCCGCGTCATCGTCTGGAGATGGGGACGCAGGTGTCTCCCGAACTGCCGATGGGGCGTCCACGTCGGCTGCTATTCCCTGCCCGAAGCCTGTGTCTGCTGTGAAGGGCGTCGCGCCGCCGAGGAGGGTGAGGAGGCCGAAGAGAGGGCCAGCTTTCTCTTACTTGGATTTGACGAACATCTATGTTATCAGACCGCAGAGTAATGCGGGTGAATACCTGGTCGCCCAGATGTATGTAGGGGGCCGTATGGCAGGGTTAGGGCCCCCAGGCCGACGGACCATGTCCTTAATCCACCCCCGGGCTACTTCGGAGTGTACCCGATGAGTTTTGCTAAAGGACTTAGGTTCCCGCTTCATCCCTTTATCACCGAGTACCTAGATATGGTGGGGCTCCCTCCGGCCTTGTTGACGCCGAATAGTTACTCGCTCATCGTCGACTTCCTTCTGCGGTGTGCTGAGTTGGATTTCAGGCCGACGACGACGCTGTTCATGAATCTTTACCAGATAGGACGCGGGAGTCACCAGAACTGTGCGTCGTATGCCACTCTCCAACAATTGCCCAAGAAGAGGAGTTTTACTGACCTGCCGACGTCCATCCATGGCTGGAAGGGAAAGTTTGTGTTCGTGTCTTTGGGCGAGGGGGGCACAGAGTTTCCCTCTGTCGGCCATACCGGCCGTTTTAATCTTCATGATACGCCGAGGGGCTCCATCTTGGACGCTCAGGTTGAGGCTTTCCTGAAAGGAGGGCCGAGGAGTGTGAAGACGTATATTACAGAGTACAAAATGGCCGCCCTCGGCTTTGTACGGTATTTTGTGTATGGTGATCTTGACGACGATGTGGAGTTGTGGCCGAAGATGACCACGTCTTATGAGGAGGCTGATGGTCCCGATCTGGGGGTGCCAGCTGAGGCCGATGGTAAGTCCTTTCTGATGCGCTTCCTGTCGTCATACTTTTGTATTCCGTTTTTCTAACCCTTAGTGTTTTGTGATGCAGGTTTTGTGATGGATCGCATGTCATTTATGAAGAGGGCGCAGCTGAAAGCGGCCAAGGAGCTGAATGCCCAACAACCTGGAGCTACCGCTGCGGCCAAGCCCCTGGTACAGCCGAAGAAAAAACGGCAGGCTGATGAGGGCCAGAAGAAGTTGGCCGAGGTGGGAATGAAGCCTCCCAAGAAGTCAAAGAGGGCTTCCTCTGCTGATGATGCTGGGACGTCGGCTGTTCCTTCTGGGGACGGAGGGGGTTCAAACCCTGATGTTTTGGTGGACCACCCTTCGGGCCCGTCGTCCACCACTCTGTCCACCGTTCCTGCTGTCGTAACGGCCGCCCGGAAGAAAGGATCCGGCCGAGAGCTGGTCAGGGGGACCTACAAGCTCGAAGTGGAGTACCCCGTCAAAGGGGGGCTGTTCAACGAAATCGTTGACGGCCACGAGGTGATTTCTCAGGCTATCCCTGACGAAGACCGGGCTTACCTGAAAAAGCTCGGCCATGTGAAGATGTACGATGGTGGGATGGACCACATCGTCCAAGTAAGTATTCTTGCTCGCTTCGTCTTAGTCTCCTCTCCCCCTTTGTTGTTTGTTGTGAAATATTGTCTAACCCATTTTTTACTGCAGGGTACCTTCATGTTGATGGAGAACAACAGGAGGCAACAAAAGGAGATTGCTCGCCTGAGGCAATTCGAGCAGAAGGTTGCCTCGGCCGATGAGGCGCTAGGCAGCTTGGAGAGGCTGCGTCTTGAGGTTGAAAGCCTGAAGAAGAGGGCTGACGAGGCCGATCAGCTGGCCGCTGAGAAGGAAGGGGCTCTCCAGCGTTTGGCCGACGTGGAGCGTGCTCGCGACGAGGCCCTCCAGCGCGCGGAGGAGGCCGAGAAGGGCAAGGCCAGTGCAGAGCTGGCTCTTAGCGCTGCCGAGGAGAAAGCCGCTGATGCCGCTGTGCAGAAGTTTCTTGAAGTCGGTTGGAAGGACGAGGGCCGGCTTCCCTTTTGCTTTGAGGTCGTGGCGGCCAGACTCGTTGACTGGGTGACCCAATCCCCCGACGGCCAGGCGTATTGGGAGAAGGAGATGAAAATCTTCTACGACCTTGGCCAATACCGGATGCAATGGCTGTTGTATAGGAGGCTACAACGGCGTTTCCTGGATATCGGTGTGACCAAGGAGTGGGCCGTCGGCCTTGAGCTGCCTTCGTTAATGAAGCATCCTGAAGCAGAGTTGGAGCTTCCGGTGGCTGAACGGCAGCTCCCCATTGAGAGCTCACGCATCAGCGACGACTGGGCGTATGAGCGGAGCATGTTTGAGGATACCGCGACGTTGGGTGTCGCTGCCGGTACGTCTGTTGCCACGGCCGAGGAGGGAGCCGAGGCCGAGAGGGACTCTAAAGCCCCTCCAGAGTCATGATCCCTTGTAGTTTTTTTCTTTGACTTTCTACTATGTAACGGCCTAGAAGCCCTCTTTGTACTTCCCAATCTAATGAATGAAAAGAAATGCTTCTTTCATACTTTAATGTTTTCGTGTTTTCTTCTTTCCGTGTTTATACGACGTCCTCGTGTGGGTGTTGCCTGCCTTGTTGCCTGAATACTTAGAATTTTTTGAAAATTTTCCTAAGTATTG